TTTTACCCTTAATGAAATGATTTACAGCTACACAAATTTCTATCATTCATTTTGGACCACAAGTTTTAAAAGTTTTTCTTTTTTTCTTAAATTTCGTGCCGAATCAAACTACATCACATAAAATGGGACAGAGGGATTAATATTTAGTAAGTTTTTGAGGAACTACATATGTACTTATTAATTCCTCAATTTTTAAAAAAATGGTCTAGTTTGGGTTGACACAAAATTTTTAAAAATAAAGAAGATTTTTAATCTTATGATCTTAAATTTTGTTATGTCAAATATATTAAAATGTCATTCAATCTCATGACTTGAAATATATCTCGTGAAAAGCTGAAAATTAAATTATTGTTTACAGAGAAAAAAATCAATCTTTTTAAACAGACTAAAAGAAAGACATAATGCATAAACATGACCTTTAACTTGGCGTGAGCTGATAACTATGACCTTTAGCTTTGGAAATGCACAAGTAGACACATAAACTTATAGTATAAAATTGGGCAAATAGACACATTCATCCTACATGACAACCTACATGGTAATTTTGTGTCCTACATGGCGTCATAACTCATACGTATATTATGTCATGTAGGACACGTGATCTAATTGTTCAATTTTATACAAGTTTAAGTGTTTACTTGTGCATTCTTAAAGTTGAAGAACATAGTTATCTGTTAAAGTCAAGTTAAAAGTCATGTTTATGCATTATTTTTTAAAATGTACAAAAGTACAATGCATCAAATTTACAAAATAGTTTGTTGTAGGTACTCAATACCTATACATAGGGCATGTTGTTTTTCCCCATCCTTTTTGTTTTGTTAGTTAAAGAAGACAATAATACTCCACTATTACTTACACTTGTCATGTGTCATGTTGCTTTCTCTCGTAGCCACACAAGACAATGAGGGAGCATCGACCTCGATACGACACTCACCAATCAGCATTAAACTCCCACGCCAACGCCATAAATAAATCAATTGCCCCAAAAAAATATCTGAGTATTTTATTCGTTACAAGGCATGCATCAACGCCAACAAATTTGACACGTCCAAACTTGCACGATGTCATCATCGGAGTTGCTCATTTTAACACATCATCTAAGTGCTTTACTTTCTCCAAGTACCACTATGCCCCTATAACTTCACTTTTTTTTTTATTGGTGTTTGATGTCCGCATTAGATCCTAAATCCTCTTTTCCTTTTCAAAGATTAAGATTCTAATATTCGTGATAAATAATTTATGTTTAATTGATAAATTTTAAAATATTTTTAAGTAGCAATTAGTGTTTGAAAAAAAAAAAGTGAGTTCTTATATGTAATTTTAGGGGAAAACATTTTTTAGCTTTTGGAAAACAATTTCTTCTTGTCCATAAAAATATTTTATTTTCTCCTAAAAAGTTGGTCAAAGATCTAGTAGTATAGTCGTATTGATTTAAGACCACAAAATTTGAATTTTTTTTATACTTTCTTAAATTTCACATTAAGTCAAGATTTGACTATTAGAATTACTCACTTTTTTCAGAATATTTTTTTAAAATTAATATTTAATTATAAAAATTTTAAATCCAATTTCTGAAACCTGAATTTGAACAAAATCTAAACATATTCTTCAAAGTTATCTTCATACCTTTCAAATAAAGTTTTCTTTTCTCTTTTTTTTTTTGTAAAAAGTATAACTTATTACCTAAATATAACTTCATATATTTCAAATAAATAAAATAAAAGAATATTTAACCAAAGCCTACTTATTTTTAGTGAGGGTATATTTGTCAATGAATGCCAGCTCAGAACAGTTCTTGACGCTTAAAGCTTGTGTTGTCGATAGTGACGTGGCGAAACTACTAAAGTCGAATAGGCGCTCGAATCGAGAAAATCGAAGCGGACCACACAATTACTGCATGGGAGTAGGACCACGCGAAACATATAGTTAAGGAAAGAAATGGTGTGCATAGGTCATAGTATTTGTATGATGAGGTGTTTTACTTTACGGTGGGACGGTTTCATTCTTAATTATTACTTATTTTTTTCGTCTCATTTTATATGAGGTAGTTTGACTCGATGTAAAGTTTTAATTTTTTTTTAAAAAAATCTTATGATCTAAAATGAATGATAGAAATTTGTATAGTTATAAATCATTTCATTAAGGGTGAAACGAACATTTTACGATTAAATTGTTACTTAATATAGAAATGCGTCATTTTTTTTAACTGACTAAAAAGAAAAGTAAGTCACATAAATAGAAACAGAGGGATTAAATATTTTGGGTTCGGTTCTAGTCTTGAATATAAAATAATTCTAGTAGGAGCACTAAATTTGAATGAATTCTGCGATACACGATCCAAATTTAATTGATATTTTAGTTTTTTCATTGCAAAATTAAATAATATTTGACATATATTTAATTTAAGATTATGAAAATTAAATATTATTTTAAAAAAAATGTTATATCAAAACAGAACAATTAAATTAAAATGTACAATGCAATTGAAATGTATTTAAAAAAAAAACCTTATTAATTTGGTTGATTGAGTATCTGAATTCCACTTTTTGCTAGGGACGGTTTGATTCCCATATCGTAATCATATTTGAAATAAAGAAGAAGAAATGAATCTTCTATACGAGCTATGATCATTGCTGGCGCCACGTGTCGCATATTTAAGAAGCATTTGGCAAGTGGCTTAACGGAGACCACCAATATCATGTTGTGGTGCACGAGGATGGCATGTTCAAATGTCGAACAATATTTATTCACAACCTCGACGTGTTACGTCACTTAGATACACACAATTCCTAAATACTCTGTCCATTTATTTTTTACTGTTTAATTTATAAAATTAAGAAATGATTTTTCATTTGATTACTAAGTTGTTTTTGTTATTAATTACTCCTATAATTATTCAATTTAATTGTTTTACTGTCTTTTTAGCCCTTTTAGTAATTTTATAATTTTAATTTTATTTTTTCACATATATATTTAAAACTACAAAATTGATAACATTTTGATATATTCGATATATTTTTAAATTAAGACCATATATCAATAAGTATTTTATTTTTACATTTGACATCTTTAATTTAAAGTAACAAATTTTAAAATATTTTTTTAATTTTTTTAATTTCTTATCAAGCCAAAATATACCAAACAAATTCAAATAGAAAAAAACTACTTTAAGGAATGTAGCAACACAATATTAAATAAGTGAAATTGGAAGGATCCTGCAAAATTTAAAAATTTTACTAGATAAACTCAAATTGGTTGTTTTGGAGGAGCTAATAGAGAAAATAATATTGATATTAGTTTTATTATGGTATTTAATTTTTATTTATATTATTTGAAATTTTCATAAATAGCAAACAAATTAAATTTAATTATGCTCTATAGCTATAGTTTAATTTGCTATGGATATTACCTTTTGTATATATACAAACAAGGTATTTATATATAAAATTTGTATACATACATTTAGGAATTTCAGAACTCCGTTTGTATATTTCACTTGCAATCAGAATTTTTCAGAACTCAATTTGTATATTTTACTTGCCATAGAAAATTTTCAAAACTCCATTTGTATATTTTGCTTGCCATAACAATTTTTCAGAACTTCATTTGTATATTTCGCTTGTCAATATACAAACAAAGTAATTTATTATGGTTTTTTCGATATTTATACAAATCAAATGTATCAACAAATTGCATATAAATAACTAGGGAAAGCATATAATCTAGATTTACACAATCAAGAACCGAATTATACAAATTTTGAGCTTATATAATTAGGAACTGAATAAAAAAATAAAAAAAACTGTAACCACAAATCGTAAATATATGAAACTATAGCTATGAAGCGTTATATACTATCAATATTTGTCATTTCTTATAATTTTTTCTATTTGAAAACCTGTGTATCACTAGTATATATGAAACGAATGAAACAATTTAAATAAAAATGAATGTAAATTTAGGTATTGAATTAGCATTTTTTTTATTTCCTATTTAATGCACAATATTTATATTATAATTTGATTATATTTGTATTTATACCGTACAAGGCTCCATTTAAAAAATCGTTTTCTACCGAAAAACTTTTTCATACAAAAAAATTTAAACTTGAACCTTTAATTAAAGAACAAGCAACCATATTTAGTCGGTGGGTGCAAGAGATTAAATGAGCAAGTTACTAATTAAGAGGCAATAGCTCGTTTGGAGAGACTGAAAAAAATAATTTTTAAGTAAAAAAATAAAAAAAAGAAATTTTAAATGACAAGTCAAAAAATAAAAAAGTAGAGGAGTCCTATTTTTGATTTTTAACTTCTTTTAAGTTATTTTAAATTTATTTTTAACTTTGTCAAATACTCTTTAAAAATTAAAATAACCTAAAAATAGATTTAACTAACTTTTAAGTCAATCTAATCAAACTTAAAAGTAGGGTTTGACAAGCGGTGTGAAGTGAGATTTTAGATAGGGCCCACCAAGCAAAGGAGTTAGTAAAAGGCCAATTTGGTTAATATAGTATGATGTCGTTTAGTTGGGAACAAGTTAATTCAGATTTAATTATTTCAAAATAAGTTATCCCATCATATAATGTAATAACTTATGTCGTCACTATAATATAAATGATGAGATAAATAATTTAAAGACTATCTAAACCTCCAACCAAATGTGGAAAAAGATAATTCTACTCTATCCCTAATAGAACTGCTTCATTTCGATTAAATTACAGACGTATCCTTGTGAACCCATATACAAAAGGTAGGATACATTTGTCATTTTAGTAAAAGATCATTAGGATACATTTGTCATTTTAGTAAAAGATCATTAGGATACATTTGTTATTTTAGTAAAAGATCATTAATGTTATTGTCATTTAAACCTTAAGTACAAGTTTTTTAGCATACGACACAAGGAAAATAATGCACAAATCTTATCTTAAATGACTATAACATCCTCAAAACGTAAAATTTAATTACTCATAAGTAGCTTAACTGCTGTGTGATTCATCTTCCTCCTAAAACCCTAAACCCCAAATTCAAGAACTCACATTATAATCAAAATGCACATTTTCCTTTCGATTTCATCAAAATTATTACAGTCAAAATCCACATCCTTCAAGTCCCTCACATGGATTCCTACAGTTTTCTTACTATCCCCAAAGCAAATGTCACAGTCAACTTCCATACCCAGAAACCAACAGCGTATTCGTGACCACGGCTACGATGATTACATGGAAGTGGAGAAGAAAATCCGTAAAGTAATGAAATTCCAAGAACTGCTTCTTACTCAACCAAATTCAATGATCGCCATTTCTCGCCTTGATATGCTTGCTCGCCGTTTTGGGTTCAAACAATATGAAGCAGGGAAGTTTATTCTCAAATTCCCTCATGTTTTCGAGGTATTCGAACACCCAGTTCAGAGAATATTATATTGCAGGCTTACTCGTAAATCACTGCTTCAAATTGAGCAAGAAAAACTAGCCCTTTTAGCTCAATTGCCTCAAGCTGTAACCCGTTTACGAAAGCTTCTGTTGCTTTCGAATACGGGGAGATTAAGGTTAGAACATGTTAGGATTGCAAGGAAAGATTTTGGTTTACCTGATGATTTTGAGTTTTCTGTGGTTTTGAAGTATCCCAAGTATTTTAGATTGTTTGATGCTAAAGAGACTAGGAATAAGTATATTGAGGTTGTTGAAAGAGACCCGCGATTAACTGTTTGTGCTGTGGAGAATGTTAGGGAGAGAGAGTATAGAGAAAAGGGTGGCGAAGAAGAGAATGTGCGGTTTTCGTTTAGAGTAAATTTCCCCCCTGGTTTCAAGATTGGGAAGTATTATAAGATTGCTGTTTGGAAGTGGCAAAGGTTGCCTTATTGGTTGCCGTATGAGGATATCTCTGGTTATGATTTAAGGTCACTCGAGGCACAGAAGAGAATGGAAAAGAGAGCAGTTGCGACTATTCATGAATTGTTGTCATTGACAGTTGAAAAGAAGATTACTTTGGAGAGAATTGCGCATTTTAGGTTGGCTATGGATTTGCCAAAGAAGCTGAAAGACTTTCTTCTTCAGCATCAGGGGATATTTTATATTTCGACGAGGGGAAATCAAGGGAAATTGCATACGGTGTTTCTCAGGGAGGCTTATAGGAAGGGAGAGTTGATTGAGCCTAATGAGTTATATTTAGCTAGGAGAAGGCTGGCTGAATTGGTTTTGCTGAGTCCAAGGAAAGTCATTGTGGATAGAAGATTGATTAATTATGGAAAACAGGGAGGCGATGATGAAATAGCTGACTACGTTGAGAATGGAGGAGATCATTCAGCCGCCCGAGAGACGGTTAGAGAAGATTTGGGAGAAGAAAGCCTGGACTCTGATGATGATTGCAGTATTGACTCTGATGGTGATTGCAGTATTGACACTGATGGTGATTGCAGTATTGACACTGAGTACACACACAAGGAAGCCAATAATGATGATGTTACTGATGATGCAGAGGACACTCGTGTCACTGAGTAATCGAACTTAGCTCAGCTATTATAGTGGTTCTTGATCAGATTCCCTTTGCTCATTTGGTGTTAAATTATTGGAAAATCAGCTTATTCAGCTGAAATTGTTTTTTTTGTATTGAAAATCTTGAGGCTCTTGATATCTTTATTCAGGGGTGGGCATAAATATTGAAATACCGAAAAACTGGACTGAACATAATAATTTAGTTCTTCGGCCTGGTCTTGATTTTTGTTTGATATTTGAACCGAGAGAAACATTAGCTGCTGGTGTTTGCTTCTACCTACTTTTCACAAGTTTGTGTTGCTACTGCCTGGAATTAACTTAGTTGAAAAAGAGGCTATTTTCCATAGCTTAGGCCTTAGCTGCTTGAATTACTTGTGTTACCTTAGCTTAGCTGCTGCTGTACTCATTGGTAATACTTGTATTAGCTTAGCTGCTGGTGTAAATGAAAATGAACTAATATATCATACAATTTTGTGTTGGTGCAGTGTATAGGCATAAGGCCTTTGGCCTTTTGCTGCTGAATTATTTGCTTAGCCTCTTAGACTCTTAGTTGCTGGCCTGCTGTGTAGGCTGCTGATACATGTTTGCGTCGATCATGCAAAATTGCAAGCCATGTGATAAAAAAACAGCTATTGCCTTGGTGCATATGATATTAGGCCCATACCAAAGAACCGAACCGAATTAGAAAAGATGGAAACAAACCGAGGTAATTTCAGTTCGGTATTTGGTATGCACCTGTGAAGAACTGAAAACCGAAGAACCGAATGCTCAGCCATATCGGGAGTTCTTTGATTGCCAAATGATTTGGGGGATCTTTGTGTAAAACTTGACTGTTTCATTTGTTTTACAAGACAGCACCGATGTAAGCTTTTACCCCTGGCTACTTGAGAGCTGGTCAAGTTCTTCTTCCTCTTAGATGCAATGTAAGTTGCTACTTTCATTCTTGTACAATCTGTTTATTATTATAGAAATTAGATTCTGCTCTGCTTTTATCATCTTCAGTTGTCATGCTATGTTAGCATCAATATAATATAACATATAATAAATAGTCACGAGTACATATGTTTATGTAAATTGCCTTCTATCCAAAAACAAAAGAAGAGAGAATGAAATGCATGTGTATTATGTATATCATTATGTGTATGTTATAATTTGGGCCTGCTAACATCTTATTTCATTATTAAAGAAACCAAGGGTGGTCCAAAGTTGCAAAAGCACCTGCTTAAGCTCCTATAGTTTTGCTCTGCCTAGTAATTTGCTGTTTTTCCTGAGCTGAAAAACAAGAAGATTCCATTGCATCCTCCCTTTGTCCTGTTTCTCTACTGTGATCTTCCTATTTATGCTGTTTTCTTCACCTTTCTCACGCACATATGTAGAAATCAAGACCTTGCATGCTCTGGAAGCTCATGAAAGCGCTTGTATGTTTAGCTATTGCCTGATATATCTTTTAAACACTTACACTTCTTAGTCCTACATAATTTTTCTTGAGGTTTTTGATCTCGAGATTCTGAACTTGCTGACTGATTGAAGCTATTTCTGGTTCAAAAAGTCTGGGCTTGTTAAGCACTAGTTAGATTACAACAACAATAATTCATGTGTAATCCCACAAGTGGAGTCTAGGGAGGATAGAGTGCCACTTTGGTTATCATAGACTACTTTAGTCATTGATCTTTTTGTGCACTCTCAATATCTTTGGTGGGAAAAAACGGTGCAGGGTTTTAGAGTACTCCCCGAGTAAAGCATTCTTTGAAAATATCCAATTGCTTAAACAGTTGATTTTGATCTCAACTACTTATTTAATTTCATTATCCCTTCATTCCATTTTCCAAATGGAGTTCTTCCCCCTTTGTATCACTCACCAATCTTGAGCTTGATCATGATCGATTTTGAATTTTTTGCAGTTAGGTTCAATCCTTGTTTAAAAATCTTGTATGACAAGTACTTGTGCGTGTTAGGGTCCAACAGGAAGGAACTCATTGGGGATGAAGTAGTTGGGCCTTTGGGGACAGAAAAAATGAAGATAGAATTTTTGTGGGTGATTATATTGCTTCAGAAATAAATACAAAGAAGATAGTGGTGGTGTGGCAATAGGTTTGGCAACAGTGATGGTGGAAGGAGTAGATGGGCGGTCCGTCTGTGTTCTGGCAGGTTTAGGCTGCTGCGATCAATGTTATTTTTTTAGGTCTTTTCCGGAAAAGGGAATATAATGAACATTACTTGTTTTGGGGAAGTAGTCTCATTTTCTATTGTTCCCGTTTTCTTTATCATGATTTAATTGCTGGTTTTTTTTTTTCCATATATGGTCTTGTTGGCATTGTAGCTGGAAGAGTTAAAGAATGGTCGATAGTGTATAAGGTGAAAAGATGTAGTTGCAAGTGGTGAAGAAAATGGATATTGTAGATGATACCGTTGATGCTCAGCAAGGAGAAAAATTGGAAGATGCTATGTGTCATGCCTGGAATTTGTATGAAAATATGCGCGGAGCCACGATGAACTTCAGGCTGGGTTGTTGCTTCTAATAAGTTCTTTTTGTAAAAACATTACCGTTGTTCCATTGTATTTAGTTAATTAACAGTCATATCTTTGGTGGAGGCATCTTAGTAGGGCTCTTAGATGCCTTACTTGTTGATTGGTGTTCTTCTATTTTCTTTCTCTATTATTTAAGGTTTCGAGTGATTGTAAACATTTTAAGATTTAAGTGATTGTAAACAGATTGGATCAATTTTTTCTTTTCTCATACTCAATTTTTATGAACAATTTTACAAATACAAAATCATGTTAAGGTGAAGTTTGTTTTTAAAAGCTGCTTGAAAATTATGATAAAAAGAAGAGACATGTGTTTGAGGTAATTTAAGGCGAAAGCGGTATTTTGGCTTGCTTACGTGGTTTTTCTGTGAAATTTAGTTAATTTTAGTTGTTTTTCTAGAGAGCATCTATAAATTGATTGATTTTAGTTAATTTTAGTTGTTTTCTAGAGAGTATCTATTAATTGATTGATTTTATAGGAAAATGATGTGTCCAAAAAGGAAAACAATAATAAATTTATTTATAAGATTTTTTATTTTTTTTTGACTCTTATAAGTAATGATGATAGAAATATTTTTGGACAAAATTATTAATTGAGAACATTTTGATTTATTTCATGTAGTTAGACATTTTAAATTCACTTTCGCATGCACATGTTCCATCTATTGCTGGAGGGAGTTCCCAAAATCAGTTAATGGTGTGCAAAAATTGATTCGAACACACGGACATGAAAATAAATAAAATGTCAGTCTACATGCCAATTTGGCACCAACTAAAGAAAAAAAAGGAAGAGGAATTCGTACGCTAGTTCCTACGCCCTATTCCCTAACGGCTATTGGTCTTCGTTATTTCTCGTTTTAACTACTTGCCATTTTATTTTCATTATCCCTTCATTCCCAATGGATTTCTCTCTCATTCACCAATCTCGATTGTGATCAATTTTCAATTTCTCTGATAAGCAGAAAATGGGGAGGAGTAGATCGTTAGCGAATAAGTGGAAGTACATCAATCCATCTTACTATTTGAAACGCCCCAAGCGTCTTGCTTTACTTTTCATCGTTTTCGTATTCGGTACTTTCTTCTTTTTGGATCGACAAACTTTAGTCCGAGATCACCAGGTGCGCGTTTTTCTGTTACCGTACTTTATTGCCACTTTTTTTTTTTATTGGGGGCGGGGAAGGGGAAATGGAGAGGGGATTATAAGGTGGGGGAATAAGTTCAAGTAACCAATTAACCGAGCTACTAAGATTTGCCTCATTGTTATTTTACTGTCGCCGTCCACATTTTTTTCTTTGATTTTCTTAGTAGTAGAATTAATGTAACATTTCTTGACTTGTTAATTGATTCTCTTGGTGATAGTTTCCGTTTTACTTTTGAGCTAGTCTTTCTTTGTTACCACAATAAGAATGTCTATGTTTCATTGGAGAATTTACGTGTTCTAGGCGGATAGAATTGAGTATTTGAGTGCCCAGCCACCCCAAATCTGAGGTACCTCAGTGTATGTTGTATCTGACTATGTGTATTGTACCAGTCCTCATTAATTTGATAGTCTCTATATTGGAAGATCCAAGGTAGTTCAACTTCTTACTGGAATTATTATCTGTAATGAGTTGAAGTAAACCTTACGAATTACTTTAGCAAGGCCCTTCTTCAATCAAATAGTTGATCGTTAGTCCCAACACTAAGCATGGGATTAAAGAATTCTCAGTGAGATTTGATTTTTGATTATTTTAAAGTGTTAAGATATCTAGGCATTCATTTTAGAGATCTTCTAGTAGCTGCAGGACTATACTTTTGAGGTTCTTTTTGATAATTGAAACATAAGTTGAGTTAAGGTGAATGACTCCCTTGATAAGGTTAGATCGTTTAGCAGCAAAGAGCTATACCTTAATTCCAAATTTGCGCAGGTCTGTACGGCCAGAACTTGGAATTCTACTAAACCAGACCCATGTTGAAAATAGAGATGCAGCAAGAGGACTCCCAACGGTCACTATCCTAGCACTAGACTCATCCAAAAGCACTTTTAACTTAATAATTCTGATGGGATCTAGTTCATCAATGCTGGTACGATCTCATCCATGGTTTATCACTTTATCCAAGTAAGGTTAGATAGTTTAGTATTTGCTGCTTCATTTAATGAAGTGGGGGAGGTTCAGTTGTCGGATTTCCAGGATAAGAAGTGTGGCGTTCTTTTTTCATCATGTTGGAATTTATGGTCTGTTAAAATCCTTAGGAAAGCAGATGTTGACTGGTTGTCTGGTGATTGGTTTAAGTTTCTAAGTGAGAGCCTGCATGTGGGCGTACTTTCTCTTTCTCCCCCTTTGCTCCTTCGAAAAAATGTTAATTGATATCAACCCAGAACTTTGGTTTAGGGGTAAAATTGCAACGTGTGATGTGTGGGTTAGGTGCATGTCACGGATTTGAACCATATCACCGATAAAATCATGGTATTTCAGTAGATAAGAATAGAGGGGCTATCCCTCCTAGTTTCGTACTGTGCGTCAATGGCTCTCGGGGAATTTCCTGTTGATAAAAAGAAATGTAATTGAGTTCTTCCGTCTTGCATGTGAACATCAATTAGTTTTCAAAAGAAACTAAGTAAAAGGTAATACTCTAATGCTTTCTGTTTATTGGTGTCGGCAGCCTGTGAAAGTTTGGTTTTCTAGCTAGTAGTAGCAAAGTTCTAATAATGTTTGATTCTTAATTCCCTTCAATTTGTATAGAATTTTCTTCTACTCTGTCCTGTGATCTTTTTTTGATTTATAAGTTTGTTGCTATATATACTTCATAAGCAAGCTAGTGGTTCTTAAAGCAGTTATGATTGGGACATTTTGGAGTTTTAAATTCAGTTTGTCTTGCAATTTTTCAATGAATCTGTGATTTTGCAGGAAGAGATCTCTAAGTTGAATGAAGAAGTGATACGGTTGCAAGATCTGGTAAGCAGTTTCCGCACTTCTTTTCAAAGTCTGTACTGGTATGATTAATTTTCAACTCTTCTATAAATCTTGGCTTGTGGGGAAATCTTTATGCTTTAGCTTCTTATAATTTTGGTGATACACAGCGATTTCTCCTCCTTCCAATTGAATGAAAACATTGTTTTACTATTTAGAATGGAAAACCTGATTCAGTTATCATTTCTTGCAATTAGGTTCAACTCTTTTTATCTTGTATGAAAACTACTCATGCTTATTAGGGTTCAACAGGAAGGAACTCATTGGGAGAGAGGTAGTTGGGGACAGGAGCAATGAAGATAGAGGTGGTGTGTGTAATCATATTGCCTCATTGAAAAAGAAGAAGATGGTGGTAGTGTGGGCAATAGGTTTGGCAACTGTGATGGTGGATGTGGTGGAGGGCGTGTGGAAGGAATAGATGGGAGGTCCGTCTGCGTTCTGGCAGGTTTAGACTGCTGCGACTAATGTTATATTTAGGACTTGGTAGGTCTTTTTAGGAGAATAGAACATATATGAACATCACTTGTTTTGGCAAAGTTGTCTCATTTTCTTTTGTTTGTTGTTATTGCTTTCAAAACTCACAGGGTTTAATATTTAGTTCTGTTTCCTTCATCATGGTTTAATTGCTGGCTTTGTTTCCATTTATGGTCTTTGTGGCATTGTAGCTGGAGGATTTGAAGAATGATCAAAGTGTATCAGGTGAAAAGATGAATTTTAGTCACAGTGGTGGTGATGTGGGGAAGAAAATAGATTACACAGAGGATCCTGTTGATGCTCAGCGAAGAGAAAAAGTGAAAGATGCTATGCGCCATGCCTGGAGTTCATATGAAAAATATGCATGGGGCCACGATGAACTTCAGGTCAGTTGTTGCTTCTAATAAGTTTTCTTTGTACACAAATTACCTTTATTCCATTGTATTTAGTCATTTAACAGTCATATCTTTGGCAGAGGTATCTCTGTAGGGCGTTTAAATGGTTGCCTGGTGTTGGATGTTCTTGTATTTTCTGTATCTACTATTTAAAGTTTCGTGTGATGGTGAACAATAGCTATGCTTTACCTTTAAGCTGACCATTTAAACTGCGAGTCTTCATATTTTTCTCGTCCTTCAATATTTCGTCAGAAGATGTTGGATCAACCTTTTTTTTTGCTTTATTCCAATTATAGAACAATTATAGAACAGTTTAAGTCCAGAAATATAGTTTCATCGTTTTTGGTGTATGCTCCTTTGATCTAGACATTTTTGGTGTATGTTTTAGGTTTTATTTGTCTACAAGTTGAGGAATAAGCTACACCTACCTAGATATCTATCTTATTTAAGTTAGTTCTTTAATTTATACTAAATAATATCTTTTAATCAAGATTACTGATAAAAAATTATTTGTCTTCAAGGGTTTCTAAAATGCATCCAAAAAGGAGTTACCTCAAAATTTAAATATGTAAAAAGTGAAGTTTCAAATATGAACAATATCTTATACTCAAGTCTCAAGATTACTGGTTAAAAAAAGGTTTTGTATTCGAGGGTTTCTAAAATGCGTCCAAAAAGGAGTTACCTCAAATTTAAATATGTAAAAAGTGTAGTCTCAATTAATTAACTCCTACTTTTACAGTTTTTCTCCAAATACTTTCACTTTGACATGAATGGTGTAACTTTGGTCATTCCAAATTGACTACCTCTTTAGCTAGAAATCTTTTGTCTTTTCTTTACTTCAAGTTTGTCTTTTAGCAATTGATCTAATGGAGAATTCTATGATCTGCTTTTCATTGTGTAATAACTCATTTACCCTTGTGTCCACTCTTTGAGTAAACATGAAGAAATAATCTAATATTGTTTCTTGTCTCAAGAATCCTTTCATGTCGAAGTACGATTAACACTAGGAGTTTTCTTGATGTGGGAATATTATTCATACAGTTAGATGCTCGAGAAGTTCATCAAGAATTTTGAGCATCCTGGTAATGAAGATAACACTATGATCTTATCTTGTAAGCTCTTTTTATGTCAAAGCTTTGAGGGAACATTTGGTGCAATCAAAAGTGAAACATCAATCTTCTGTGTTTAACTTCTCTGTGAAATATTAAACAATCATTTTCGGAGAAAGTAATTAATCACTGGAATAAGTATTTTGTTGCACAAGATATTTCTTGTTCTTCTTAAAAGGCCACTGTGAGGTAAAATCTTGGGGAAGTTTGTTTATGATTAGAGTATTTAGGGCTCTGCTTCCGAGTAATATAACTTTATGTTGAACAAATCTTATTCTTGATGGAATTGCTAGCTTCATATTTGATTTTGTTCGACTCTCTACTTCCCTTTTCTTTGTCTTTATTTGACTGATCATTTGATTTATGAAAAAATTCACCCAGTTAGCTTTTCAAAATTTTCCTGAAGTACCCTTATAGGCAGACTTAGGCGGTCAAATTTATGAAGAGACAGAGGATCTATGTGGAATTAATTCTCATTGACCTTTTTTGGTGATATCTTATATTATGACTACAAGAAAGGAAGTGAAAATTTGGGAGACAGTTCCATTTTTACTTATATTTCATTTTTTTTTTTGGTTTCCCATCCGGTGTCCGGTATTCGCATTGGAGCCCGACTAATCCGGATTTGTGTCGGGTAGGGCTCCATTCGAGGGTAGCATTCCCTACCAAAGATTTTTCCAAAGCCAAGGCTTGAATCCGAGACGTTTGGTTAAGGGAGGAGCAGCCCCATCCAGTGCACCACATCCTTTGGTGGTATATATTCAATTTTAAATCTAAGAGGCTGATAAATTTCCCTTGATACTTTTTGATCTGCTTCTGCTATGTGCTTGTGGTACTTTATATATCATATCCTCTGTTTGACATGTGCCCGCAACTATTTGATTGTCGTGCTAAACTTTTGCAATGCCAGCCACAAACAAAGAATGGTGTTGACAGTTTTGGTGGTCTTGGTGCAACATTAATCGATTCTCTTGACACACTATATATCATGGGCTTGGATGAGCAGTTTCAGAGAGCTAGAGAGTGAGTTTATTGTTTTCTTGCTTCTAAAAGCCTTGAGTTTATCTTTCTTATCCTAGATTGAAGCCTTGTTTATGTGAATACCAGCTTTGTGTATGTGGACGTCCCATTTTCTACTTTATCTTATTTGGCGGTGATCCTTCTCTGCACACAATAACCATGGTTGTGTTTGACAAATATTATTCATGTTATTTCTTTTTAAAAGAAAAAAAATTGTGGAGTAGGGAAGGGGAAATGGGGGAGGGGGATTACAAGGTGGGGAACTGAAAGCCAACCTACTAAGCTACTAAAATTCCTCTTACTCATGATCTCAATTTTGTTCTCAAGAAGAGAATGAATTGTTAAAATCTTATTTAAATATGAAAGCGATCACTAGAATTAAGTAATGATGTATGAGATAAATCTAAAATGCATCTTGAGTTAATATCCTTTATACTTGTCATCTCTCTGATTAAAATATGAAGTTATCCAACCTCCCCCCCCCCCCCCCCCCGCCCCACACCCTATGTCCTCTCCGAGAGAGACTGCTTAGAGTTCTGTGTTTCCTTGGATTATGGATTTTATGTGTGGCATCTTGTCTTCTCAAAATCATTGGACTGCCAGTATCCCTTTTACTTTTAGATTTTAGGGTTTATGTATTACTTTCTTTTATCTATGAATCAATAGTGCCAAGTGGAAGACATTTGTGAATTTCCATATTTTTGTGCTTCAAGCAAGAGTTTATTGCTTGTGGCTAACAAGGAGCTCTGATGGCAGGTGGGTTGCAAACTCCCTGGATTTCAACAAGAATTATGATGCCAGTGTTTTTGAGACAACCATAAGGTTGCTTTATAAGGTTTAAGATGCTTTAGTAATGCGTTTACTTAGATTCCTGACACCTTCTATCGGCTTTGATGATTTGTTTCTATGTTCTTTACTGATTAAATTCTCTGTAATTTAACAATAGAGTTGTTGGTGGACTTCTTAGTGCGTATGACCTCTCTGGTGATAAGCTTTTCCTAGAAAAGGCTCAAGACATTGCTGACAGACTGTTGCCTGCATGGAATACATCCACTGGCATCCCTTACAACATTATCAACTTGTCACATGGGAATCCACATAATCATGGGTGGACTGGGGTAAACCCGAACTTTACTAAATTCAAGTTGATTTTCCCTGGAATATAACTCAAGTATCTCATGCTGGGCGTTATTCTAAATTTTATTTGACAAGTCATTTGATGCTTTACCCTGCACCCATTTTCCATGAAGGGCATGGAGGAAATTCCAGCTTTGGAGAAGTGTATTTAAAAGGGGAACTGCATGATCGAAGAATCGTGCATTACCTTGAGAAATGCTCTAATTTTCTTAAAATATACTTAAAGGGTCTTATGATCCACCCCTTGTTTTCTCTCTCTTTGCCACATCCCATCGTGCTTTCTCCCAACTGACTCCAGCTTGCAAGTAGAAACATGTCTTGTGCAACTTAGCAATTTGCAATTCTCTAAGAAATTGTCCCATATATTTTCGACTTGTTTATGCAACCTGCCATCTCTTAATGCTGTGAACAACAACATACCCAGTGTAGTCCCACAAGTGGGGTCTGGGGAGGGTAAGATGTACGCAGACCTTACCCCTACCTTTGGGGGGTAGAGAGTTTCTGATAGACCCTCGGCTCAAAAGAGAAGATATTTGCAGGGTAGGGGGGGCTGTTTTAACGATGTCCTTTTGCTGAAAGTTCTCCTGTGTGAATCCAACTCTTTTCTTCTTAAGTGCTGTTTATTTCTTTTCTTTGGGGAATATTGGGGAGCTGCAGGGTGAGGGTGTTGTGCATCCACTGGGAGAAAACATTTCTTTACTTAATTTTTTTTTCCTTTTAAGCACTTGGACAGAATCCTCCTTTTTTGAAAATTGGTAATTCATATTCCTCAGCATTAAGGGCTATGCAGTGGCCACCTCCAAAAAGTTAACAATGAGCCTAGGAAACTCAAACTAATTACAAGGATCCTAGGAAATCTACCAACTGAATTACATCGTCTATATTTCCTTCTTTACACCCAAAATCAAAGTTTGCAATACAGTTCTCCTTAATCCTCTGCATGGAGTTACATCTGTCCTCAAAGCACCTTCCATTCCTTGCAATACAGAATCCTCTTTGCATACCAATGACTATCGTTTTGAAATCTGAATATTTCAGGCTCATGGCATGTAATATATATATATATATATATATATAATATAATGATTTCTGGAGTTCTAGTGTACATTTGCTGAAACTATTGTTCTCCCTGTTCTCAGGGTCATAGTATCCTGGCAGATTCTGCCTCTGAGCAGCTTGAATTTATTGCTCTTTCACAAAGAACAGGAGACCCGAAGTATCAACAAAAGGTATTCCCCAATAGATTTCAATATGTAACATCTTGATAGCTACTAAATAAAACTACAATATCAAAAGGGCATGACAGAAATTGATTAAGCTACACAGACTCGAATCAATGTTCTGCTAGTGACCAAATGGCATAACGTTCTATTTCAGGCGGAGAATGTCATCTTAGAAATTAGTAAAACTTTCCCAGATGATGGGTTGCTTCCAATACACATTAATCCAGAGGGAGAGGTGGTTGTATACTCCACTATAACGTTTGGGGCCATGGGGGACAGGTGAATTGCCTTTCATTATCTTTTTCCAAATGACTTATCTGATAATGTGAACTGAGAATGGACTGGTGTCACCATATCCCTCTGTTCACTGGCACTTAGTTTTCCTTTGTTTGTTTTGTACATTATAGTAAAAGATGTTGTTTCAGCTTTTATGAATATTTACTCAAGGTCTGGATACAAGGAAACAGAACAGCTGCCGTGGACAGCTACAGGTAAGAAGCTTAAGTTTAAATTTTCTTTATTTCTCCAGTGATATTATTATGCATAAACTAAGGTTAGGTCCGTTAGGATACTTTGTCGGTCCTGAACCAAGTCTTTTGTCATGCATCATGGCCTAACAAATAGAAATGTTATTCAAATGTTCACATATATAGACCAAGATGCCCAATCAAGAAAGACATGAATTAGACAGAACATGAAAAGAAAAAACACTGTTAAGGGGGAACAATGACAACATGCTGAAGAGTTGATGTAATCTTAATACATTAAAACAAACCTGAATTATTAGAGCTAGTTATTATCATACCATTAGATATATGTATATATATCAGAGTAAGAGTGATTAAATTTACTGCTAAGTATCTGTTCTGCTATTTTCATCAAAAAACTTTACTGCTATTTTTAATATTATTCTGATATATACACAATCTCAAACCTGAGCGAGCATTAATGAAGGCATGCTTATGTAGTCCCATCACTTTTTCCTAAAAGTACAAAACTTACAATCTTGATTAACAATAGAATACTCTTTTGGTGTTGCATTTTTGTACTCTAGTTACATCTTCCAAGTATTACTTTAACATATCTCTAAAATTTCAGATATAATCCTAAGTTTCAAACAGTTTTGTTTACTTAACTTCCTTGCTGGTCAAACTAGATTAGTCAAAACTATTAAATTTAGTTGAGGATTTCCTTATGGCTGTTATCTTGATTAGCAGTTGTAAGCTGTTTTGCATTAGCTAATTTAAAGACCAAAGAACTGGGGGTTTATGGCTTCAGTGCGTCGTAATGGGTAATTGTGTTTCCTTTGAGAAATGCAAAGTTAGCTCCATATGCTCAGTGGAGGAACCAGAAATTTTAGGAAGGGGTGTCAAAATATAAAAATGTAACACATGTGAAAAAAGAAGAGGAGTCAACATATAGCATATATACGTTAAACTAAAATTTTAACCTAGCTAAACCATGTAATTTTCTGGCGAAGGGGTGTCATTAGCAGAAGGTGGCTCCGCCACTGCATATGCTTTACTGGTCTGAAGTGGAGGAAGATGAAATTGGTTATTGCTTGAAAGATTTGTGTTTTAATTACTTAGTTAGAACAAAAAGGATCAGAAATGTGGACCAAGTCAAAGTATGTCAATGCATATATCAGAAATGTGGACCAAGTCAAAGTATGTCAATGCATATATGTCAATACATTTTTTTGCAATCTCGAGCATATTAAATGCAATTCTTCTATTTAATTTTCCAAACAGAAAAATGTGGGAGACATCAATGAAAGGTCTTTTAAGCTTGGTGCGGAGGACTTCTCCATCATCTTTTGCTTATATTAGTGAGAAGGTTGGATATTCTTTCGTAGACAAGGTGATGTATAGCGTTCAAATGGGAAGCAGTGAGTTCTGGTCATGTGTGTGATTCTTAGACCATATTAATACTTTTGAATTCTGTACAGATGGATGAACTTGCATGCTTTGCTCCAGGAATGTTAGCTTTAGGTTCGTCTGGTTATGGTCCTGATGAGTCTCAGAAGTTTTTATCACTGGCAGAAGAGGTATTTTGAACTTGTAGAGCTCCAAACTATGGTCCGACTTAAGTTCCTTGTCAAAAAAACAAAAAAAAGCACAATGGTCTGACTTAAGTTCTTATCTGACCATCTGTATCTCATGATAGTTTTGCATCAACTTTGAGCGTGAGGTTGTTTAGATTACATTGGACATTATTCTGCCAAGTTTGGTTTGCTTTTATTTATTTGGTGGCACTACAATGTGAAGCATAAATTAACCTATGCCATATTCTGTATTCAGATTCTTTCCAGCTGACTTTATGAATCCTAAGTTGGGAGAGGCACATTTTGAATGTTTACCTGGTGTCATTAAGCTAAGCATTTTCATATAGCTCCTGTATGTCCAGACTTAATAATTCAACCTTCTAGCTTTCTGTCACAGATAAAGGGTGCCCGGGAAAGAAGGCACAGAGTATCCATAGTGGGCTACTTCCACTATTGCTCGTTAGTAACAGAATGCTTGAGTAATGCTATTTTACTGGATCTATTAACCTCTTCTTGCAGCTTGCTTGGACTTGCTATAACTTCTACCAGTCAACACCTACAAAGTTGGCAGGAGAAAACTATGTCTTTAATAATGGCCAGGTCGATTTTGCCACTTAGTTTATTAGTACATATTTGTCATTACTGTTTACTTATGTTGATAAAGAACTTGTGGTTGTTTTTCCTCTTTAATGCTTTTCAGGATATGACTGTGGGCACATCGTGGAACATACTAAGGCCAGAAACGGTCGAATCTCTGTTTTACCTCTGGCGTTTGACTGGAAACAAGACATACCAAGAGTGGGGTTGGAACATATTCCAGGCATTTGAAAAGAACTCGAGAATAGAATCTGGATACGTTGGACTTAAAGATGTAAGTACTAACTTAGACTCTTTAACTCTAGCTGATGATTTTTTTTCCAGATTGATTCATCTCTTCAAATGATCCCTGTTGACCTCTATAAGTGGGATATATGCCTTCCTTATTATCTGCTTTTCAATGTCTTCAGCATTGTCTTTTTCTTTGTTCTTTTTTGAATGTTTGCAATTCTTAGTGAAGACGGTGTGTTTTAGTGTCATTGTTAGGAAGATGTGTCTTCTGATACCCACATTCTTATTGTTTTAAGTACCATAGTTGGGATATACTCATATACATGCATGTTTGTGTTTTCCCAGATTTGAATTAGAATAACATGGGGCTCCTATTGGTGATTTTCTTTCTGATGCCTTTTCCATTGTCTGGCATTTGTGTTTCAGTGCTTCAGATCTGAAAGGGTTCAGTGATTTTGATATATAATTCATCTATTCTGCTTAGACTTCTGTTTCCTCCTTTTCACCTTAGGCTGATGCTTTCTTACCCTTTACCTCACTCTATGGTTCTTTGCTTTGCATAATCTTGACCTTTGGCTGGTGGAATTGTACTTTACTTTATAACATGAGCAATTTTCACGAGTTAAAGTTCATTTGTTGAGACGTAAATTTGTATCTGAATCTGCTTTCTCAAGCAAACATGTCAAAATGCTTGAGCAACATAGAACCCTTTATTCAGGAGAATTCCTATTCCCCCCTCCATCCTTTTATAATCCCTGGGACTCTCTGAGATTGCAAGCTTCTGATGCTGCACGAGTCATGACAAAATTGTGGATGCGTTTCTTGGCCACTTAGCCAGTATCACTTACCTGATACCTTCCTGAAAGCTGTCACAAGCAACCACTGCCTCTACATTTCAGTTTTCACGAAAGAACATCTGAGGTGCTGTATCACTTACCTGATACCTTCCTGAAAGCTGTCACAAGCAACCACTGCCTCTACATTTCAGTTTTCACGAAAGAACAATAAGACTGCATAGCATGGTTAGGATCTGAGGTGCTGTACTTGATACCAAGAAAAATGACATTTTTTAGAATTTTGGGAATAGGGCACAAATGGAACTTCATTATATCAACAAAAAAGATAGTGCAAGAAACATTTGTAAATTATCTTTTTTAATAATTAAATTAATTTTACTGATTCTCCCAAATGTCGTGAGATTTATAAAGGTAGTATGTTACATGTATGCTTAACCTTCCCAGAAGTCTATCCATTTCTCTATCCAACAACAAACTTCTTGTTTATAGCAAAAAAATAAATATCGAAGTTTAAGAAAGAAAGGAAAGCTTTTGAAATTGTGGTCTTAAACATGCATAACAGTTGTGTGGCTACAAGACTTTCGAAACTTGTGGTCTTAAATATGCCATAATATTTAGGTGGCTATAGAAACTTCTCATTAAGGGTAAAATGATAAGTTTAAGTGAAACTATCTTCAAATTTAAAAAGGTCATTTCTTTGAAAGGTAAGAACCGAAATATATATCCAAAAAATAAAAATAAAATACAAACCTGCCACATGATGTACTTTGCTTATTGATCTAAGACATTGATTCAGATTGAGCAACTCCTCGCCTTCGATTTTGACTTTGATATACATCCTAAGGTATATTGCAGCTAGACCCCACAATTTTTCCTTTCGAAGGGTTCAATTTGGTACCATGCTGAAGAATAGGTTGATCCAAATAGGGGAACCAAATGAAGTATTCAGGCATAAAAACTCCTGACCTATGGTCGAATCAGTTACACACCCCACCTTTGTAGAGGTCCTATTACCTCCCTGCACAATCTCAAAGTGGAGTTAATCACCTTGAAACACCACAACCATAATGTTAAAATAAGATCTGTTATTAATCTTTTGTTTAATCTCGAGATCAAAGAATTGGATTCTCCAATTTGACATCTTGAAAGCTTCCACCACATTTCTATGCCAATAATATGAGAGAAATATTGAGCAAGCTGAGTAAGGGCACCCTATCTCCTCTGACCTTTTGTTGCTTTTTCTCCTATTTGGCTCAACTTGTTGTGGGGCAGCAGAGCTTGACCGTCTGTCTTCTCGGAACACCTTTTCTTTTCAATTATACAGAAAAATGTGGTAGAAAAAGGGAAAAGGTGTTGGGGGGGGGGGGGGTGTATGTGTGTGTTCAAAACATATAAGAGCTTATTTTACCAAGAATGAATCTAAACTGTAGGGTGGAATGTAAAATTGCTGATATGTGTCAATGACTGTTGGTCATTATCAGCTCAAGTTTGTGTTTGTTTGAAAGTGGATTATCGCTTGATCTGTCACTATCTTCCAGTCAGTAAGGGAGTTATGCTTGTGACTATTACACCAAATGGTTTTTTTTTTTTCTATATTCAGGATTTGATATTCAATGATATTTTGGACACCTGTTTTTGTTGTTTTTTCCCAGGTTAACACTGGTGTGCAAGACAATATGATGCAGAGCTTTTTTCTTGCAGAGACGCTTAAATATCTCTATCTTCTTTACTCATCCCCTTCAGTCATTCCCCTAGATAAATGGGTTTTTAACACAGAGGCTCACCCCATAAAAATTGTGAGCCGGAATGATCGAGCAATGAGTTCTGGAGCTGGAAATTCAGTTGGACAGCAAAAATCATATAAGCGGCCACTGACCAGGAGAGAAGGCCGATTTGGTAACAAGTAGGTTCTCATAGGTCCTCATTAGTTTAGTTGTTGATACAGAATTATGGGAATGAAGTGCTATATTGCCTGGCACTTGTTCAGCCAGATTCGCGGGATTTGTTGGACTGATGTTAGAGTTGGGCAGTAATGATCTCCTATGACCACTTACATTATTAGATAGTAGCTATTTTTAGTTTTAGTTCTTACATTCCCTTAAAACAGCCAAATGTATTCTAGTAGAGGGCATTTGGTTGTGGGTAGCTCTACATTTTTGGGGCTTGACGAGTATTTGTATATCATACCTTGGTTATTTTTTTGGGAAAAAATGTGTCATGAGTGTTTGTATACCATACCTTGTATCCAATGGATTGGTTTAAGATATTTGAGATTCTACAAGCATCTTCACATACTCTCTTCGTCCAAATTTACGTGAGTGTTTGATTGGATATGCTGTTTAAGAAATGAAAACTTTTGAAATTTGTGATCTAAAACAAGTTAAAGATATTTGTGTATTTTGGCCTAACCCATCCGTGGCCCCCTAAATTTGGCACGAAGTTTCACTTAGGCACCTCAAGTGGGCGATGTTCATTTTAGACATCTCATGTAGGGTCTCGCTGTGTCATTTTGACACTTTTTGCTGACTAAGCACAGTACGCGTGCTACACGAATTTTGAGCGCGTCAGAGACTTTTTTTGTAAATATTTTCTTCTCCTTCTTCTTTCTTGCTTTCTCCCTTCCATCTTCCCCACCTTCTACCATCCTCCATCACCACACAACTTTTTAAAAAAATTCTACAATATTTTATTAGGTTACACTCTTTGATTCTTCCATCTTCTTTGAAAATCGAATTTGCATCTTGATTCATATTCAAAAACAAAATCGATTTCAAGGGAACAAAAAAAGAAATCAACTTCTTTCAAATGGAAAAACTGATTTACATTCTTACCTTCTCCATTGAAAATTAAATTGATTTCAAGGAATAAAAAAGAAATAAAGAAAAACCTCCAATGAAAAAAAAAAGAAATTTATTTTACATATCCTTCATTGTAAATTCCAATTGTAGTAGCACAAGAAATCATCTTCTTTTAAATGTCATATAAAAACTTTTCGATTTGGTATGATTTCCCTTATTCTCCAAAACGTATTTTATTTTGTAAACTAACCTATGTTCTTGCCTTTTTGATGGAGAAGAACAGATGAAGGGGAAGGAGGCGCAAGAAGAAGAAGAAAAGAGGTGGGGGCATGGGGTTTGGGATCTGGAAGAAAGAAAAAAGAGAAAGTAAAATTGAGACTTTTAAAAATAAAATAAAATTTCCACATGTCATATACCAATTCGTTTATTTTTCCACATAAGAGGCGTCTGGATGTACGCACTTAAAATGCAGTTTTGAAAATATAAAAAGTGTCAAAATGACACAATGAGGTTTGACATGAGGTGCTTAAAATGAACAAAGCCTAGTTAAAGTGTCCAAGTGAAAGTTAGTGCCAAGTTTAGGGGGCCACCGATGGGTTAGCCCTTTAAAAATCTATCTCATAAGGGTCAAATGAGAAGTTTAAAGTTAAATTAGTTTCAAATAAAAAAGTAGGTAGACTCAAAATTTAACACATAAATTGAAACAATTAGAGTATCATTTTAAACACAGTAATTCATGGAGCATAAATTGTGTAGTAATTTTATGACCTAATTCGCTAGACGTAATCTTAGAGAACTTTTCGTCTTGTTCAACATAAGTGCGATAAAAAGTAAGTTATGTCTTTTGCGACATAACTTGTAAGTTCTAAAATTGACATTTATAGTTATGCTTTTTTATGACATAACTCGTAAAATTTGAACTAAACTTTTGCTCTATCGCTATAACTTGTCATGTCTTTTTAAGGTATAATTTATATTACATTATAATAAAAAATTATCTATTAGAGTATTTCAAATTTCAAAGTCATGGACATTTATGTGAATGACCCAACGATGGTCCATTGACAGGTCGAAGGCCAAGTCCAACAGCCCAAACATAGTTAATTCACGAAAATTGGGAAGGGGACAACGCTTTTAGGAAATATGCTTCTCTTTACCCATGGAGAATCTCTTGAGGGGACTTTCCGATTCCACCATTGATGACTATCCTTCTGCAACTCTATTTCAATGCAATGAGTTTTGGAGTTCACATTCATTGCAAAACCTCAAAACCCTAAAGCCTTAGTGAAGTTCCGAAATTACTTTTGCTCGAGTATATAGTCTTTTGTTTCTCACGCATTGATGCCTACTCCTCGCGTTCTCTCTGCTCTTCGCTGCTATCGCCATCGTTATCAAGGATCGTATTCCCTCTCTGCAGCCCTAGATAAATTTGATTTTGATGCTTTTCACACTTGCTCATCTGAAATCAAGGAAGAAACTAAACCTCATTTGGATGCGTATCATAGATTTCAATGCAATCCGTGTTCAAACTTCAGTGGAGGTCAGGGGCCTTCATTCGCATTGCGCAGTATATTCTCGGTTAATTCTTCGCGAAATGTGGTATCGTGTTCGATTTCCAGAATGAGTAGTCACCTGTTCCTCAGCCGCGGTGAGTGTCCTTTCATCATAACTCAGATACGAATTCCGGAGCAAAATATAGCTTTACCAATTAGAGTTCCTATGTGTAGTGTTTTAGAAAATTGCTCTTTTCAGGTTTGATTACCAGAGCTAAGAAGATAAAGACAATAGAAGTGGTGGATGATCCTGGGTAACGTGTGTTGTTCTCATCATATATGATGTTCCTTTTGTTTTCTTTTTAGACACAATTGAATAAATAGCCTTACTGTTTCTTAGAAATCTGCAAATTTAACCTTATTATGTTGTTAGCATAACAAGTCCCTCATCATCATTCCATATCCCTTCCCGTAGGACAAGGGGAAAGATAAGCAACAAATAAAAATAACAATGGACTGTAAGCTCATGCTCCCAACCCTGGTGGGCATGATAATCAGACACCAATGCTTGTGAACTATAACAAGTTGACAAACACATTAGTCGATATCAGCACAAGTAAGTCCAAACATCACCGTTTTAGAAGAAATATTGATTAAAATTACATGAAATGAGTTATCAGTGTCACATTACATTAACAGAAAATTTAGGTTAAATTGTATATTTGACATGCATAAGAGAATATTTGTGCAGTTGATATTCCTAAAGAAAACTTACTTTGGGATTTGGACACAGCCACTATGGTACTATCTTCTATGTTCCACTGGAACTCAGTTGTCTTATTGCAAGTAATTTAATCATCATTCAAAGGTGTTACTCGGGGAGGTGATAATTCCATATTCAATCAAGTAGCACTCAATAACATTAAATGGATTTCAACATGTTTGCTTAATTTGGACTCCATTTGGTCAGACATAGTAGTGTTTCACATAGTGTTCAGGAAAGCGAGCGCTTCATCGCTTAAAGCGAAGCGATGCGAGCCTTCTACGCTTCACAGACTAGAATGAGTATGTGAGCGCTTCATCGCTTAAAGCGTGAAGCGGGGCCTTATCGCTTTTTTCCGCTTCATGCTTCCCTGAACACTGGTTTCACATAGAGTGGTGGAAATGACTTCACTATCAAAGTGATTAATAGTTTCTCTAGATTAAAATGTTTACATCAAAACCTTATCCTGTACAATCGTGGCAACCTACATTGACTAAAAAAAGAAGATATTTCTTAGCTAAAACTATGAATCTATATATTGTGTCACCATGTAATTTGTTCCTTTTTTTAATTTCCATAGCCAGCGAGCAGTCACAACAGCGTTATGGTGCAATTTTCTTGTCTTTTCCCTGAAGTTTGGGGTCTGGTTTGTCAGTTCCAGCCATGTCATGCTGGCTGAAGTTGTGCATTCTGTTGCGGATTTCGCAAATCAGGTATTGCACATGTTTAAAACTAACTTGGCCTGGTATGAGCCAAGTTCCATCTTTAATATTTCATCAATCAAACAAATCTTGATTGCTTGCTTTGTAGGCGCTTCTTGCTTATGGTTTAAGTAGCTCCAGACGTGCACCAGATGCTATCCACCCGTAAGTCCCAATACCTTGACATTGCAGACATGCTCCCCCCTCCCCCTTTCCTTCTTTTTTTTAAAAAAAATTCTATTGTATTTGAGTAAAGCACACCTGTAGATATAGCAGTATTTTCTTCCATTGCAAATTGAAAATATTTACCACTGATTTGGTGAATGTGCAGCTGTATCGTACAAGATATTTGTTTTTCAAATATATGTGTTCTGGTCAAAGCTTTAACAACAATAAATCGAACACATTTTGATTGATTTGGTCTTACACCGATATAGTGGAAAAGATTTTTTATCTGGTGACGTGTATCCGAGGCTTAGAGGCTGATGAACTTGTTGAACTTATTTTATCATTTCAGATACGGCTACTCCAAGGAAAGATTTGTCTGGTCTTTGATATCTGCTGTTGGTATTTTTTGTCTTGGTTGTGGTGCTACTATAGTTCATGGAGTACAAAACTTGTGGACTACTGAGGTACTTTAATTGAAATACAGTGATCCATTGTCTGTTGTTAAATACTGTGCATTCACATCAACTAGAACTGTATTCTTCCTATGTATTTGTTTCAGCAACCTACAAATATTGGATATGCAGCACTGGTGATTGGTGGCTCATTCATTATAGAGGGTATGAATTCTTCTCTAATAAATACAAGTAGTTAGAATGTTTGTTCCTTTTATGTTTTCTACCACTTATCTCACTCTCTACATATTCTTTCCGAACCCTGGATTTCTTTTAGGTATTTCTCTCGTTGTGGCTATTCAATCTGTCAGAAAAGGAGCTGCTGCTGAAGGAATGACAGTGAGAGATTACATTTGGCGTGGTCATGATCCTACAGCTGTAGCTGTCATGACAGAGGTGACCAACATGCTTTCTTGAGCTCCTACTCATGATGTCTTTGTCAGTGATGTGTAATATGATGTTCAATTTGTAGGATGGTGCTGCAGTTACAGGTCTAGCCATTGCTGCCGCATCACTGGTTGCTGTAAACGCCACTGGAAATCCAATTTACGATCCCATTGGTTCCATTATAGTGGGCAACCTCCTGGGAATGGTATGTGATGCTAAACCTTGAACTTGTCCTGAAATTCAGGCATTGTAATCTGTATGTATTTTCAATGTGTCAGCATAATTCAAAAATGATGATACCCCACATGAATGAAATGATGATTTCTTAAAAATGCGAGTTCATGAATGAAATAAAATATTAAGTATAAGAAAATGGATCAAAATGCAGCAGGATAGATATTGATGATTCATATAGCCAATTCTAGTTTAGATAGGGATCAAGTGGTTGTTGTTGTTCTTAGCTCTTGTATCTTGGTTCTGAAGTTAATACTGGGGCCGAAGTAACTTGGGTGACTGTGAATTAGCATATAAGAGAGATGTTGACTGAGACAAGTGAAATTTGAAACTCGTCTCACAAAATGGTTTCCAGTGTTAGTGATGCACTCTATGTGATACAACGACTGATGACATGGATGACTAAACTTTGTTGTCAGTAATAAGTGTCTGATGCCTTTACGTTCTTTGCTTGTCATCTCAAACTTAAGTTTTGGAAAAGGGGAAGATTATTATGTGACAATGCAATTTGAAATGCAGGTTGCTATATTTCTGATTCAGAGAAATCGACATGCTTTGATTGGTAGAGCAATTGATGACAATGACATGGACAGGGTTCTTCAGTTCCTGAAAAATGATCCAGTATGTTGATTCTTGATCGCTCTACTCTGCTAACCTCATTGCCTAACTAAACCATCCAAACTTTACTTGCTACAGGTTGTTGATTCCATTTATGATTGCAAAAGTGAGGTGATTGGGCCTGGGTTCTTTAGGTTTAAGGCTGAGATAGGTGATGGGATCTGGTTCTTCATTTCTTTTCTTCAGTTTCTTTAAGGTACACCTCCTAATATGTTGTTTTATATTGCAGACTTCAATGGCGTAGTGCTGGTTCAAAATTATCTAGAGAGAGCTGGACGTGAAGAGTGGGCTAAACAGGTTATTAGTTTCGCATGCTAACTTCTTAATTCTTCCACCACACCACCTCTCATTGAGGTGAGGGAGGGAAAAATGCATCTTGTTTTTGCATTTCAGTAGTGGACAACATCAATGGATTGATAGAGTCCTTCATCTTTCCTAAAATAGAAGACACTTGATACATCTTTATCATGCCAACCTGGTGACAAGTCTTCGGCCCTACATTGGTGTTTCTCAAGATGACTTGTTTAGGAAGATGTAATAAAAACTCAACATAAATTCTTAGAATACAATAATCTATAGGATAAAGCCAAATTGGAAAACAAGTGAGGGTACAGGTGGATCTGATGTGCATTATTATAGATAATGATTCATCATATGAATGATATGAAATACAAACATGTTCACTTGTTTGTAACACACATACATTAGTTTGTCCTGGTTTGTATAAAATTCTTTGAGTTGGCATGGTTGATTTGACTTGCATAGTTTATTCATAGTTGCAGAACAATTTGAAGTTTTGGAGAAGTTGTGTAATGAAAAATAAATTCATGATTAAAATTTTAGCTACTCTATTAGATTAGTTTTAAGTTCGTTTATTGGTAGTTGTAGAGCAATTTGAAGTTCTGAAGAAGCCGGTGTGGTGAAAAACAAAATCATGATTGAAATTTTAAATATTACATGAGTTTTAAGTTTTGAAACGTTGCAGAATTGTTGGGTATTATTATCTAAAGAAATATGTTGCATATTTTGGGACATCCTTATATAAAAAGATCAAAATTATTTTGGTAAACGATGGATGAAAAGTGCTAATTTGTATGTTTCTGCATCATGTCTGTGTGTTTGTGCTTCATAGTTCAAGTAACGGCCTCCTGTACCGTCAGCTGTTCATCTTTCCTACTTACAGTTGATCATCATCTGCAAGATTCTTTAAAGCCTATTCTCCTAGAGATGAGTTGTATCCTTTTATGTAGTCATGTCATTACCAGATAAAAGAGCTCATTTTTAAATAACTACATGATTTTGGCTCAATTATCTACTTCATTCCGGATTTGTGGTATCTGCTGCAACTCTGCTAACCTGACCCAGCATGGGACTGATATTACGGATGAATTTTATCCCATCCACAACAAACTTTTTGGCTTAAGTTGTTTGTTTCTATCCAAGAAAATCCGAACTATTTGATTAAATCTGTGGAGCGTAGAGTTTCACCAAGATATTTAACACACACATGTTTGACAAATAGTGTTCCAACCATATGCTAACAGCTACAGGTTTAGCAATTAATCTTGCCGAGGATTTCACTTTAAGATTGTATCTGTCCTTGACATGGAAACCTGGATAGAACAAAGATATTATGCTTCATTGATGTAGGACTATCTGCAAGTTTCTTGACCCTACTTTTTTGCTTTTTTTTTTTTGTAGTGATGTAATATATGCTTGGCACATAGTTCATTTCTTGCTAATACATTCTTGAAGTTCAGTTACTTCATCTCTATTTGATTATGCGAACATTGATGACATATTTCTTGAATTATCACAACTTAAGCTTGAAAAATGAAGACCATAAATATTATTTCACTTTCTTCTTCACCCTTGAGGACATGTTGTCTACAAGCATTATTGATTTGTAACATCCAGTTATTTTCTCTTTTCATATTTAGTTTCGAGAGGCTTCAGAGCAGAAGGATGATGCAGCTTTACTGAAAATGATGTCAATATATGGTATGCCTAACTTTGAACGTATGGTTGTGAATTGCACATGTTAAATGCTATGAACTTTCTCTTCTTTCTTGGCAGGTGAGGAAGTTGTCACAGCACTAGGGAGTGAAGTTGATCGGCTAGAAAAAGAAATCCAGGAAATAGTTCCAGGCATTAGGCATGTGGACATTGAAGCCCATAATCCAATTGTGCCATCCCCATGAGTATATAGCTTAATAAAAATATTGAGCTATGCGTTGACTTCTTGTTCAAATTATAACAAAATGGGATACACGATTGATGAATTCTGGGAATATCATTAAGCTTGGATGCTCCCAAAGAAGCTTTCTCTACACCGACAGCTGCATATAACTCGTTTGAAGAATTTGTCATTTCAGTGTAGGGGATAATGATCCTCTGCTTGTATTTTTCTTGTGAGAATAGAATACAAGCTTTTAATCATTTCCGGCTACAGTTATACTAGTGCAAAGAAACTCAGTGACATGAAAGGCGCCTTGGAGAGATTAGATATCCATTATTAGCAGTGTAAAGAACGGTTCCTGGTTATTATTCTCTACTATCAATTGTTATTATGTAATATATGAACATTAGAGACATCAGACAAGTGATAATTCAACAGTGCCGATTTTTTTTACTTTCCATAAACTTATATGCTAAAGGCAAAGCTTAATATTTAGAATTAGTATTAGTCCTAAAAGTGATAAATATTACGAATCCACGGGCATGACAAACTTAAATATTGATATGATATTCTTTCAGAATAAGAACTGTAAATGGTAGTGTTGGAGAAGACGATAGATTTTGAGATAGTCATTGAAGCTTGTCTATATAGTACATGATGGCAGCGCATAAATAGAAGGTCATAGGCTATTTAATTGCACTACTTATAAGGGAACGCTCCAATCTCCATTGATTGGAATGGAGTTGACAACAATCATAACAAAAAAAATTCAACACCCCAGAGTTTTTGTTTGAAATAGCTTTACTGACATGTAAAAAATAAATCTGCTCTACAAATGCTAAATTCAACATTCGACTATTTGTGGCCTGATCTTTTCCATCAAAACCTCTAATAAATGGTAGGCTTAGGGCAAGGAATACGTAGAAGAAATCCCATCTCAACCTTCTGCATTTTTCAGCCTTTCTTCACAGGGAGCTAGCAGAAACATGAATAGGCGAAGTGGTTCTTCTTTGAGACATAATGGGATATGTAATCTGTTAAAGCAGCAGAAGAGCCAGGAATATCAGCTGGAACAAGTATCTGTGTCTTTCCGGAAGCAATTCTCTTACCAGCCACATTGGCATAAAAGAGGCCTGAAATTGCTGGTACGAAAACATCACTCTCAGAACACATGTAGAAGTCGATTACTTTCTCCAGTTCAGAAGACTCTGAGTCGAGAAATTTTGCCTTCTTGTCAATGGGCATTATGCTTTCCTGCAGTCGTGTTTTCGGAGGAGTAAGCAACACAAATAGTAAAAGCACACATGGAGATACATGGAAGCATACAGATTCTTTTACTTCCTAAACATACAATCGAAACTTAACTTATCATAATCCAAAATCTATGACAGTATAGCAAAATATTGTGAAACAGTAAATACAATAGTAAAGAAACCGGACCTTTGTATATGTTTTAGGAAAGAGATCCTTCAATGCATCAAGGCTGCTATCCCACCTTGATTGAGTCAGATATAGAGTTGTATCCTTGTTGAAACCAACTTTTCTCAAGAACATACCAATCTCCTCTGGACCATAGCAGCTCTTTGATTTAAGAGAACTGTCACCTTGGCAACTCTTTTTCTCCAATATATCAACCCTCAGATCCACTGCAATAAACTGTCCTTTTGACTTTGCACTCAAAGTTCTTAAGCGCTCCACCATGGACTCAACTACTTCATTAACTTCTGGTTGAAGCTCTAGAGTTCCAAACATTGACATACATGCAATTGAGTCGATATTACTCTTCTCTTTCGTTTTTTTCATGTTCACTGAAGGAAAGTATGTTGCCAGCCTTATGTTTCCCTTAGATGTGAAAACTGGTTCAATGTTTTCAGCAATATAATCTTCAGAAACCCTATTTGGAACCTTCACAACAGCAAGATTTCTTGCTGAGACTTCAGCAGGCTGAGTTGTTGCTACTTTGACCACACCATCTAGGCTTCTCACGAAGTGTTCAACATCATAGATGTCTTCAAAATTCCTGAAAGTCACAAATGACCTTCATGAATCTTCAAACTCTGGGTGACTAAAAGTGTGGACCTAGATGATATGAGAACTAACGATAAAAATTCACAGATGATCAGCAGTACTGAAAAGCCGTTAGATTTTGAAAGAGCTCTTCAAATATTCAACAAGCTCAATATAATTCCAGCTTCCAAAGGTTATAGTTCTACAGAAAGAAACTTCAACTAGGAATGGCTCATGAAAATCATATCCAATGTCTGCCTCAGGATTCAATCTCCAAATTACAGTTATCGGAGACAAAAGAATGTAGAAAAGTGTCTAGAGTCTGCTAGGGCTTTAAACACAATTAAATCGCTTTTCTAAAACAAAGGCAACACAGACACATAAATAAGAAAAAATATTAAGTACAAATAATAATCATATGAGCCAAGAAAGAGAAAAGGAGCAGTAGGAGACGAGAAAAAAATTGGTAGAGCTTTGTGCCATGTGCACGATCTCTTTTAATTGGTCATTGACAAGCTCTTCCAAGCTGGGAACGACAACATACCCAATGTACTGTTTTGGGAGGGTAGAGTGTATGCTGACCTTACCCCTACCTCAGAGGTAGAGAGGTTGTTTCTGATAGAACCTCGGCTGAAGGCTCTTCCAAACTGGGAATGGAGTGAAAATGAAAATAAGGGAGATGTAAGAAAATAAATAAAGGAGATCTTGCCCAAAGAAATGCATGCAGTGTCTTGACTCATGAGTGAGAGCTTAGTTTCCATCTGGGCATATCAGGCACAAGAAATATGATGTTCCACGGGTGTATTGAGAAAGAACAATTCAAGTAACCTTTATGAATGTCAAATACAGATTAAATTCCTTAAATAGTTCTCATTTGAAACAACATTAAAACTCTACAAGAATAACAAGAGATAGGGAAAACGCATAGAGAACACTGACCTCTTATCCCCAGGTTTGCTCCCTCTGATGTCTGGGATTACAAGAGTTGCACGCAGATACCTCGCTACTATAACTGCATCAGCAATCTAACATGCCAGTTCCACACAGAATAAGACAATAGAAGAGAAGACAAACATAGACGCAGCTCTGTATAAGTCTAACTCATCCTACAACATTTACAAGAATCTGCTCTTTGCTGGCAGCATAAACAGAAAGGCAAAGTGATGATGTAATATAAGAAAGTGCCAGATATTCCTCCAAGCTAATAGAGAAATAACCATGATATAAGGAATACAGCAATATCAAGTAGTGGTTTAAAGTTCAGTTTCTATCCCATCCAACCCCTACCCACTGCATGTTGGCATAAAGAAATGTGATTGGAGACAGAAACTGTAGTCACAGTGAATAACCACATCTCAACCAAGAAGAATGAACATCAAATATGGATTAAAGAAAGACCCATCAAAGTAACTATGCGCTTAGCACCCCTACACAGAAGAAATAGATACAATTCATATGACCACTTGAAATATTTGAATGGCCTGGAATCTAGAGCACCATACACAATCATTTCAGATCAGAAGCAAACAGACCAACTAAAAATGTAAGGTGGACAAGTAATCTTAGACGATTACCAATACCCGCAGAGTGAAAAGAAACAAATTCTCAAGTGTAAACGTAACCAAAAAAGCAATAAAATGGATGTCCAATGTAATTTTTCCACTTTAATAGCTAGTTATGCCTCATCTACTGTAGTTTTATAAGGTTTTCCCAAAAACATGAAATGCGACAGTGTTGTGCTCCTTTTACAGTTTTCAACACTTGAGTAGGAGATAGACTGGTGCTGAGTCCTGCTGTTGAATGTCTCCATGAATCATCCTAAACATTAGTAAATTATGTACAACACAAATAAAATCAAAAGCAAACTTGTAGATACCATTTGCAGCAAACAAATGCTTGACTATAAGATAGAACCTAGAGTTTGCAATTAGTTTGTCAAGTAAATTGCAGGTAATTATCCACCTACATACTGCTATTTGATAAACTCAAGATCTAACACTAGTAAGATACCTGAGAGACATGATATTCAGGACCATTAGTAAGTGAGAAGGTAACAAATCCTTCTGATTGGTCAGCTTCTTCTGTTAAGAAAATCATAGAATAAGAGATGTACAAATTGCTTGAAAGAAATTAAGATAGTAAAAGATAACCTTAAGAAATCGAGATTATTAAACCACTCACGGGGAACTGGTTTAGTCCAACAAGGCTTTAGGGATTCACCACCCTTCATCCAAGGGCCATTTCCCAGGCTCTGCTTGCTGGTACTATGGATAGATATATCAGAATCCACCTTCATCGAGAGGAAAAGGATCAAAAGAAATCAGAAATGTCCAAACAATTAAACAAAGAATATCACATAATCAAATGTTGACACTAGACACTGTTTTATCTGTTTTTGGCATAATCTTATAGAATCTCTAAATGCAGAAATTAATTAGATAGATCATTTTTAGCCAAGGCTAAGCCAGAAAACACGGGATCTTTCAGGAAACTATGAAATCAACTAGGTAACAGTAGTGAAAGTTTGCTGCAACTGCCCGCTGAAAGCTGGTGAGAATATTTGTTGATTGAAAATACTAGAAGCTTTTCAAAACAAGTTAAATACTGCATAGTTCGATTCATTTCGAACAATATAATGAAAACATAATGGATCAGAGCCAGAACAAAATCTAAAGCAGCAGTAGAACAAATAACTCAACAAAGCCAAAAACAAAACATCAATCGGCCAAAAATGGAGAGCAACAAGTGTAATTACGCAGTTGGAATAGCCACTAATGGAGATGTACAAATCCACGGTACAAAAAGGAACATAACATCAAATGAACTCAAAATCAAATAGTTAGAGCATGATTATGATAGGAATTACTGGATAAAAGTGATCCCTCGTGATCATGTTGCCGAGCATTACAAACATAGTAACAGTAAGAACACCAGCAACAATTTGTCTCGGATCCACTGCCATATCTCACGGATCCACAAAAGCTCTGTTCACAAGGAATCAAATATGGAAGAAGTTGAAGGTACACTGTGCACAGAGTAACATAGAGCAGCAACTTCACAGTGAAAATGTGTATTAGGATGCTGAGTTTTATATATAAATGATTAAATTACAAGCAAGAAAAACTAAAAATCCGGCGGGACAAATCACCACTTTTGGTAATTAAGTAGAATTAGCAGCAAGTGTAGCAGTGCTATTTGTTGTAAATTTACCAAGTTGGATTAATTAGGGCCAATCAGGATAAGGACAGACTGACTGACAGAGTGGCGCTCCCACTTTTTTTTTTTTTTTTTTCGACGTTCATTTTTCTGCCACCGACACTTCTTTTGAAAACGATTCAGCGCCTAAACACAACGCCGTTATCTTTCCGGCCCAAAATTTCGTAGTACCGATTGATCGGGTATGAAGTTTAAAAATACGAAAAAGACTTTGTTAATTTACTGAATT